ACCAAATAGATCTTCTCTAATTAAAATGAAATCTTCACTTACTTAAGAAGCAACTGTCTTTCATGGTGATATAGCATTGAAAGTAGAGGGTGGAAACAGGGTCTTCCACTGAGTATGTATGTGGGTACAGTTTGTATTGTTCATTTTTTCTGGAGGTGGTGCAATCTTTTTCTATGTATAAAATAAAAGTTTTGAATACATAAATTTTCAACTACGGTCTGATTTAACTCTTTCTGGTCAGCGCACAGGATGTTGCTTGCGACCAACTCTTTTTCTTCTTCATGTTTTGCCTAGTTACAGACCAAAATATTTGAATGACAATCATTCCCCATAGGGGATATAGTTTGTCTGTATGATACTGTCACCGGGGAGTCTCCCTCTTTCTCTTGCACAAAGATCATCTAATACTTTGTGGTCCGATTTACTAAAGGAGTAGAGGCTGTCCAATCCTTTGGGGTCCGATTTACTAAAGGAGTAGAGGCTGTCCGATACTTTGGGGACTGATTTACTAAGGGAGTAGAGGCTGTTCAATACTTTGGGGTCCGATTAACTAAAGGAGTAGAGGCTGTCCAATACAATTACCCAATTGAGGTACTTTGCAAAATTACTACCATCATCTCAGGGTGCAGCAAAACAACAGATTTTCCATATCTCATTTGTATTATCAGTGTAAAGACGCAGCACTGCCACTAATAGCCTGCCCCCTGCTAGTATTCTGTAGCTGAAGGCCACTACCGCCCTGTGAGAGCAGCAGTCTCTCTGCAGGGGTCCGACATGCCCCCCCTGCAGAGTTACCACTACAGGTCAGCAGGGAGTATGAGAACTGTGGACTGCAGATATAAGTCTGACCCAGCACAGAGCATGTCGGACCACTGCATAGAGACTGCTGTTGTCACAGACCTCCCTAGTGTGCTGCTGCTCCTTTTTTTGTCCAATCAGTAGATGGGGGCGGGCTGGTGACCCAGCTGAATTTATTAACTGCAGTGGTTAAAAAAAAAAGTGAGGTCAATGACCTAGGTATGCTGGTGACTGCATGGAAAGAAAATAAGAAGGTTCTCATATATGTATTGTATCTTTGTATTTAGTTGTCTGTCAGGATTTCAGCTTTTAAAGCATAAATGCAAGCCACCAGCTAATATTTAAAGCTTATGTTCTATCCCTTCCTTCTGCACTGACGCCTTTTACAGCAGCCTTACCTGTACAGTCATGTCTACATTATTCAAAGTTCAATACAGACAATCTGGAAGCCATTTATAAAACATACATCATCAGAATACTGAGTATCTTGCACACTTTATTCATCTTATTTACAAAGTTGTATGTTTCTTACTGTTTAATTACAAACTCCTGGCAAAACCTGGCGAAACACGGAAACGAACCCTTTTCATTAAAAATATGTTTTTAACCCCAATTCTAACTTCATTATACATTTAATTATAGTGTAAGACATGTACCAAATGCTGAACAATATCTAAGACAATGTAATACTGAGCAAAATCTAAGACATGATGCAATAAGAGCATTTTATCCAAAATCTAAGGGGGTTATTCAGAAAGCTGCCGAACGCTCCTCGGCTTTTCACTTCAGTCTTGTACGGCTGATTTCAGGCGTACATCAGCTAAAAGAAGCCGTACATCGGCAGGCCTTCGGTCAGCCGACCATGCTCAGCATGTTCGGCTGAGCAGGAGTGCAGAAGCAGTTGGACCCAACATCTGGATCGGCTGAGCCGAAGCTCTGGCAGCTCACTCGCTCACTCGCTGCTCATTCTCATAGGGGCCGAACGTCAGTGAGTGAATAGATTAATACTGCCGAGCGGCATGCGGCTCGGCTTTTCTGCTCAGTACCTCCGAGGTACAGAGCAGAATAGAAAATAAGTGAAAAGAATGGGGAAAAAAATAGTTGAAAAAATATTTTACAAATGTAAAAAAAATAGGAAATGTAAAAAAATAAATAAAAATATTTTAAAGAAAAAAAACATTTAAAATTAAAAAAACACCCGCTGCACGGCGACCCGACCGCATGCGACGGACTCCTGCCGCATAATGAAGCATCTGACAGATGCCGGCAAAAGAAAAACAATTGGGCGGAGCTAGCGGCTGGCTTTGCCCAGCTGTCATTTGCGTGGAGATCGGTCGGCTTTGGCTGACCTTTCTTCACGCTTCCCCTGTCACTACGGCCCAGCTTCGGCTGGGCTGAGCCGCTCGGCTGCCTCCGACTGCTGTACAGCAGCCCTTCGGTCCGACTGAACCAAAGGGCAGAGGCGGCCGAGGCGAGCCGAAGGATCAGCCGAAGCTACGGCTGGATGCCTCGGCTCTTTAGTAAATAACCCCCTTAGTGAAATAACATTGTTACTTGACTTACCCTCACCCAGGTAGAGGCATTTCTTTAATACAAGACTTAATTCACATGGAGGCATGGATCCACACATCCATGCTGGGGGCCATGCGCATGCACCCAGAGAGGCACGGATATTCCATTCAGCTGCTAGATAATCAATGAAAGGCTGCAGCTGTACCATACTTTACACACATCTCAGTGTCTACATCCGTCCAGGGATGGATGCAGAGCTCTGAATGTAGTCTGTCCGCGTCCAGGGCTATGCATCCATCTCTGAATGGGATGTACGTAAAGATCTGTTTGGCTGAAGCCTGTCATCAATTTAACAGACGGCTGCACAGAACACCTGTGACACCCTGGGTTCTTAAATATGGGCCCCTGAATGACTGTATGGGGTCCATGCGCCCACATAAACGAAAAAGTCAGGGACTGAAGTATCACCTTATAATGGGAACACGTAGATAGCCAAGGATCCCGTTACGTTTTTCAAAAAGTACTACAAAGTGAATTAATGACCCAGGTAATAAAAGAACCCCTTTATTTTACTGTCTGTGCCCCATATTCATGGCACCCTATAAGATTTCAGCTTACAATGTGACTACATATAACCTGCAGTAAAAGAATGAAATTAGACTGGCTACCCCAGTCTTCATATTATCACATAGCACACAGAAAGGCACACTGAATAAGACCGGTGATATGAACGATACATCCTAAATGATACATTACGGCCATTACAATAGAAAATACAAGTTAGGAAAAATGAAATCCATCAAGTTCATTGTCTTCTAACACATTCTAATGCACATTATCCAGAAGAAGGGGCTACAAAAGCACAGTTAAGCTGTCCATACTCTAATAGATTTCTGTTGTCCAGCCCGCAGGGTGAAATGTAACAGATTCCTCCATCCACACTAAACAGCCTGAATGGGTGAATCTACTGTATTCTGAAAGCCAGAGCCCGCTGCTGTCAGAATACCAGAACAGTGACTGTAGCTGATTGACTGCAGTCCCTGTTTAAGGTACAATTTTCAGTATGGCTCCTTTGACTAAAGCCAATTGAATTTTGTGATTTTGTCAAGCCGGCCAGGCCGCCCACTGGTAGAATTTTAACTGATTCCTATGAATTGGCTGAAATCCTAACAGTGTATGGCGGGGATGGGCAAACTTCGTCCCCCCTGCAGTGGTGAAATTGCAAATCCCCTGATGCATCTGTCTCTGGGAGTCATGCCTGTGGCTTTGAGAATCTTGCAATGCCTCATGGGATTTGTAGTTCCGCAACAGCTGGAGGCCCGGAGTTTGCCCACCCCTGGTGTATGGCCAGCTTTAGGCAGCCGTCAGTTTATTCTCGCAATGGAGTGAAAATTCCTTCCCAGCCCCATCAATGGCATTTCAGTTGAATTCAGATGTCATAATCAAAGGGAGTCCCTTACCGATAGCGGACACGTCTGCATTTCCTCATCCACACACATATATAGATGGAGATGGAGCACGGAGACATCTTTATCAGGATTTATAGTTGATGTCAAGCCTACAGTGAAATGTGTACAGAATAATAGTGCTTTGGAGGTGCTAGACATCTCTGGACGCCGTCAGTTTCTGAAATATATTTTCAAGTATATATTTTCTGCATGTACGTGCAAGCGGTCATATGGCTGCTTGTTTTCTCTTCATACAAATAAATGCAAAAGCAGCACAAATCTTTGAGCAGCTTTGAAGAAATTTAGGCATTGCTAAAATCAACTCAGCTGAAGCCTGAAGCAACTCAAAAGCGAATCACAAGCACCTTTACACTGGGTTCACACCTAGGCGTATCGAAAATGCGTGTTTGTCGCAAAAAAAACTACGCGTCAAACGCGCGTTTCCGAGGGCTACCTGGCTGTATCACAGTGGATACGCGCGAAATACGCCCCAAAGAAGCTCCTGTACTTCTTTGGGCGTAGGGCGCTGTAAAACGCCCAGGTGGGAACCATGCCCATAGGCAATCATTGGTTTTCACATGTTGAGCGTTTTACAGAGCATAGGAACGCGCTGTAAAACGCCCAGGTGTGAACCAGGCCTTAGATTGGGTCAAAAGCAGGTCAAAGCAACTCAGCCATGCGTCAAGGTAACAAAAAAGCGAGTTTGCAGCATGTGTTTGAAAGCCTTTTGTCATCAATAAGCTTTAATATACATAAACATAACCAAAAACATCCACTTTATTAAGTTATGCAATGTAAGGGCTAATGTGCATGAGCATTTGTGGTTTGTTCCTGGAGCAATGTACACGAACCCAATAGGACCACAATGATGTGACCAAATTGCAGTAAACCATAGCAACCAAATTTTAGCTTACTGAAGTCAATCCAGTAAAAAAATAATTCTGATTGGTTTCTATAAGTTACTGAATAAGTCCTTAAAATGATAGCATAAAAATGAGCCCAGCAATGTCTGTGGACTTTCCTTAGTATGAAAATACATTTTTAGCTTCTGCTAGGCACTGCAGCTGACAGCAAGTATTAAAGAAAAATAAATCAATGGCAGTGATTTATGTGATCTGGATGGTGCCCCATGTCAGGACGTAATCAATATCTCCATCTGCTAAGTGCCACTACAATGATCAATCCACATATGACACCCGTGATGAAAAGTGAAAGCCAAAACAAGTCGGAGGATCACTATACCGTCATCATGAGCCTCTCTGTTCTTCCGCCGGTGCCGTTCTCTCCTGTGGCTTACAACTGAATCTGTTCCCGTTTCGTTGTCCAGGCCATCGCGGCTGCTGCCAGCATTTGGACTGTAATACACAAAAAGGTGACAATCATTAACAGCAGCATATGGAGAATAATTTAGGAACAATGTGGAAAAATACTGTGTGGGCAATCAAGTTTGTTGATTGATTTTCCAATAGCGAAAGATGAAGTTTGTTTGCTATGAGCAACAGTTCACTTTCTGCTCCAGATGTCTGAGCTCCAGTCTACATAAGTCAGACTCACAGTCTATGGGATGTACTGGAGAGAAATGTATGGCAGATGTCACACTTAATACCTGTCAACACAAAGGGCTTTATTTTAAAAAATCCCTGACCCGGCTATACCGTTCGCACCGCACTCGCACCCCTAGACGGTGCTGTTGAGTACATGAATTTTCTACGCTCGTCCCCGCCATCTAGGAGCGCCAGTGCCATGCAAACGATATAGCCGAGCGGAACTTTTATAAAAGAAGCCCAAAGTGATGGTGGCACAAAAGTGGCAGATGTGGCAACACAAACTGGGTCCAGAAAAAGAAGTAGGTCTATAGAAGAGTATTCCGATACCAATGCCTGCAGGCCATGTCAAACTGAAGATTGCTGGAATGCTGGTGTTCATTGTGAGGAGTCATACAATACATTGTTAGAATTCACCACAGTGTTTACATGTTTTTTAACTTTATTGAAATGTCACAAAATGACACTTCATTCAACTCCATGCATATCAGCACACCGTGGTGCGCTATAGTGTGTTGGGGTGAACAGGACACATAAAGGGCAACTGTTTTCTATGTATCCTTGTGTTGAGCCTGACTTGGTCATATAGTGGGTGTGATAGTTGTCCACAAGACTTTGGTCATATATTGGGTGTGATAATCAGGTGTCCACGTACACTTGGCTATATAGTGGGTGTGATAGTCAGGTACCCAGAAACCTTTTGGTCACATAGTGGGTGTGAAAGTCACATGTCCACCATCTTTGGTCACATAGCGGGTGGGAAAGTTACATGTCCACAAATCTTTGGTCACATAGCGGTTGTGATAGGTATTCACAAACCTTGGTTATATAGTGTGTGTCATAGTCAGCTGTCCACAAACGTTAGGTCACATAATGGGTGTCATAGTCAGGTGTCCACAAACCTTTGGTCATATACAGGGTGGAATAGTCAGGTGTCCACAAACCTTGGTCATATAAGGGTGTCATAGTCAGGTGTCCACAAACGTTAGGTCACATAATGCGTGTTATGGTCAGGTGTCCACAAATGTTAGGTCACATAATGGATGTGATAGTCAGGTGTCCACAAACTTTGGTCATATAAGGGTGGGATAGTCAGGTGTCCACAAACCTTGGTCATATAAGGGTGGGATAGTCAGGTTGGCTTAAACCTTGGTCATACAATGGGTGTCATAGTCAGGTGTCCACAAACGTTAGGTCACATAATGCGTGTTATGGTCAGGTGTCCACAAACGTTAGGTCACATAATGGGTGTCATAGTCAGGTGTCCACAAACCTTGGTCATATAAGGGTGGGATAGTCAGGTGTCCACAAACCTTTGGTCATATACAGGGTAGGCCAGTCAGGTGTCCACAAACCTTGGTCATATAAGGGTGGGATAGTCAGGTGGCCATAAACCTTGGTCATATAAGGGTGGGATAGTCAGGTGGCCATAAACCTTGGTCATATAAGGGTGGGATAGTCAGGTGGCCATAAACCTTGGTCACATAATGGGTGTGATAGCCAGGTGTCCACAGACATTTGGTCACATAGTGGGTGTGATAGTCAGGTATTCACAAACCTTGGGTCATATAGTGTACATAGTTCTTCAGAAGCTACCAGTATAACATTCTGGTCCTTCTAGCCAGTCATTCCACTTACAACAGCAGCACCTAGTGGTAAATATCTTCCACACCAGCAAGGCTAACTTCTGTACATAACGTAGCGTGAAATGTTTCAAGAAAAGCAAATATAGACAGCGGAGGCAAATATTAAGTGTCATTTATCAAAGCTATCAAGAGAACAACTGTCTTCACTGACACTGTAACAAGATAGACTTTATTTATCAAAGCATGCTAGGAAAATGACTCTCGTTTCCCACAGACACCAGTCAGATCCTCCCTCTGGTTTTTCAGCTGCACAGTCAAATAATGAGAGGGTGAGCCTCACTGGTTGCTATAGGCAACAAAGAGCATTTATTTACATCAGACACTTTGATAAATAAGGCCTTTTTTTTTTTTAACGCCTATTGGCTTCTGCAGATCTTCTTTCAGACATATTGATAAATACGGTTTGGTACATAGGCTGTGATAAAAAATGAGTCCTTACTGAAAGGATGGTGGCCGTGAGTCTCCGATTCCCCCTGTCCTTTCGATCGGAGGAGGGAGGTCTGTGCGACTCTCTGTGCTCTGAGATCCACCGTCGGAATGGGAACTTTCGGCCAAAACCAGCTGTGTGAAGCAAGGAAAACATTTCAGCATGACAGCATGGAGCTCCTGTATAAAAAGTGTCGCAATGTATGAAGCCATCTCCTCTGGAGGCCTTTAGAGGCCTGGTCAGAGGTTGAACAGTACTGCAGAATAAAACAATCCCCTGTGTGTGCAATTTCTGCTTCATTAATATTATGCAATGGTATGCTGCAACCCATAGCAGCTTAGAGAAAGCAGACTAATTGTGCTAGACTGGATTGTGCTATTTAATGAATGCAATGACGTCCAGCTAAATCAAAGTGGCACCCATTAATTTTCATATATATTAAATTTATGTACATATAATACATGACTTACACAAGTCACTACTCATCATGCTAACACACCGTCCCTCCTGCTGCAGACACTTACCCAGGACACCACTCTTCCGTTAAAACACGGGAGCTTTGCGTTGTCATCTGAAATTTCTTCCTTGACCACCCTGAAATATTGAAGGTGAAACAAATCAGAAAATTAGAGATTCATTATCACTGCTTTTTATTCACATACATAAAGTCTAATGAGAGCGCCAAACAAACTGTCCAAAAACTTGTAATAATAGTAATGGTTCACAAACAACAATACAGAACAGGTAACGCGTTCCGGGGGCTCAAGCACCTCCTTTTTCTTCACGGCTTAAATATAATGGGTAATAATAAGGGCTCAAAGCTGGCACAAATCATCAAGAGGTAATTATGCGCTGTATAGTGTATAGTGGGGATGCAACAAGTGAAGCCGGCTTCCTTTCAAATCAGGGAGCTGGGCGGTGGGTTATGGCCCGCCTCTCAGCTTCCTGATTGGCTAGGAAGCCAAGTTACCTAGCAACAAGTGAAGTCGGCTTCCTAACCACTCAGGAAGCGGGGAGGTGGGTCCTGACGTGTTGCCTGGCTTCCTGAATGACTAGTAAGCCGGCTTCACTTGTTGCTAGGCAGCCTTGCTTCCTGACCAATCAGGAAACCGGACAGCACCTCATGACTCGCCGCCCGGCTTCCTGATTGGTATATCAGGAAGTACTCGATACCGAAAAGCCGGTATTGGTGCATCTCTGGTGTATAGCATGAAACAGTAAATAAGCTAATTCTTGCTGATCTACTGATTCAGGCTATAGCCTATACCTGGAGTACATACCCTCGGCACGCTAACGTGAAGGTGAAGCTACAAATCCCATTATGCCTCTGTTTTTGGGAGTCATGCCTGTGGCTGACAGAGTCTTGCGCTGCATAATGGGACTTGTAGCTCCAAAACAACTCAAGTGCCAATGTTGCCTGCCACTGCCCTATACAGTCCCTGTTATTACCCCTTAAGCACCGTAGAAGGTTTTTGAGCTCCTGGAACACATTGGATGCTCTTTGTTGTCATTTGGTAACCAATACTATTATTAAACGTATTTGGACTCTCGGATTGTCTTGTTTGGCACTCTCTCTGACCGATCTTAACATAATTTGATTTCAGCACTTCACCTCTACTTGTTCCAAATTGTACTCACACATGACCTCCAAAATGTTATAGTGGAATCCAATTATTTGAAGTCTTGTTTTGATCCCAGTCATTTCCTATTTCTTACTATTCACACTTCCATACAATATACAACCATTGTATGCCCCCAGATAAGCATACATTGGGTGTTGTACTGCGTAAACCTGCATACCACCACCAGAAAACATCAGAACCTCATTCACATCAATATACTGTACGAGGGCTTCGTAAACAGAATATACACAGTGGCGTAGTAGTTAGTGATTCTGCCTTGCAGCACTGGGGGTCCCTGGCTTGAATCCCATCCAGGTCACTATCTGCACGGAGTTTGCATGTTCCCCCTGTGCCTGTATGGGTTTCCACCGGGTACTCCGGTTTCCTACCACACTCCAAAGACATGCTGGAAGGCTAATTGGCTCCGCTCTAAAAATTAGGCTCCCTATGTGTGTGAGATCAGGACCTTAGACTGTAAGCTCCTTGAGGGCAGGGACTGATGTGAATGTGCAACTCTGTAAAGTGCTGTGTAAATTGTCGGCGCTATATAAATACCTGTAATAAATAATATATTAATATTATAATTGATACTTGATTTTTGCTTTAGCTCAATTCTCCCCCTCTACTGCTGATGCCAGCACCATCTTGAATGTTTTACCCAAAACCTGCTTACGCCCTCTTCACTAAATCTTATACATGCAGGGTTCCAAGCTTTCAAGGGGTTCCAGGAAGAGAAGTGGAGCATCGCTCGAGTGATTACGCCCTCTTCTATCATTTACACAAATGTTCACAAGGCATTCTGCAGATCTCAGCATATGGAATGAGAATATAAGTGCACATGTGCGAGTGGGGTCACAACAACAGAATACAGCGATTTCTCAGCAAGATGAAGGGTATGGAGGGTTTGGATGCTGACAACCATAAGTACGTAATGGCTGACGGTGTACATTTGTAAAGTAGAACTTACTTTTGCTTTAATAGCCAACATGATACACTGCCATATAGATAGATAGCCATGGGCCATTATGTGGGCTGTCATCATCACTAATGGTTTAGAATTGGCAGTGGCACAAGAGCAGATACTCAGCAATGACTGTGTGGGACTCAGCCCAGGACCAATAACAGCTTGCAGCCAGGGGCATGAGGTCACTATATTGATTTAATTCGGTCACTAGTATATAATCATAGATTACCAGTAGCACTTCAAATGCAGAACCAAGCGATGAGGGTCCTAAGCCTCCAGACTTCTGTAGGTCCCACACTGAAATGAAATGATAACTCTACCCATTAGTAATACAGTAAACTCCCCTTTATCCGGCATCCACAGGGATTGGTAGATTCCGGATAAATGTAGTTTCTGGTTGCTTGAGAGTTACTATTAAAAATGGGTTTAACTTATGCTATACCCTATACCATAACAGTATATTATACTCAGGGCTTGAAAAATTTGATAGTGTCTCACCAGTCAGTCAAAAATGTCACCAGTCAGCATGACCAGACTATAGCCTTGCAATTTATGTAAAAAAAAGTTTGGGGACAGATAGAGCTTTCTTTTGGAGGCATATAATCACCACGGGGGGTATTTATTTTTTTTACTATATAATTAAAAAAGTACCATAAATGTAAAAAAAAAAAAAAAAAAGTTTCCTTCAATTATTTTATAAAAATTTTACCTGTCACAGAGCCGTGCCGGTCCTGGCCGCATCGGGCACAGCGGATCTCGGGACCGGCAACGGCAGTGACAGCTTCTGATACAAGCGATCTAGCGTCTCTCGAGACTCTCGATCGCTTGACTGTAAAGCTCCCGGCCGGCCGTGTAATTACAACGGCCGGCCCGGGAAGCTGCTCGTCGGGCTCCACTGTCTGCTCGTCACAGACGAGCAGACGAGTGGATTTTTCGAGCCCTGATTATACTCTAAACCATTAGCAATACATTGCAGCACTTGGAGTGATCACTAGGTGGCGCTTGTTCACAGGATAACACAGAACTTTCACAAACGATTGATCAGACACCTGTTTCCAGGATAACAGCACGTTTCAGAGATCGCTCAGACACTTATTCCCAGGATAATCCAGCACTTTTCAGCCCGTTCCTGTGCCTCTCCATGCTCCAGAGCCCTCTCTTCCTATCCTAGAAGGCGGCAGATCGGTAGAACAGTGAGTACACAGGGGACTTTTGTTTTTTTTGCTTTTTACTGTAGTTTACCGAGTTTACTGCACTTACAGGTGGCTCATGGTCAGCCAGTCCATATGTCTGTTATTGTAGAAGCAAAATCTCTCTGCCATAATATCCAACTCTGTTCTTGTCCACCTGGGATATCACAGCACTCCTCCTGATATTGCCTTTGCCTGTTTGTCTCTCCATAAGGTTGGAGACATCTTTTTTCAGGCTTTATTTAGAACATCATCTACTACCTAAGCTCAGTTGGTTCAGAGATAACACAACCATGTAAATCCTGGTGCCTGTGGCGTTCTTGGCTGTGTTCACAAATTCCCAACACATATTAGCCCCTGCTACAGCTCTAACCTTGTGACTTGCTACAAAGTTACAGGGGTGCAGTCTAATCACTTGAGGAGAGGAGACTGAGGAAGTGAAGTGCTTCCTCCTGCCTTCAGCTAATTAGCACATCATCTCAGCTTATTCAAAGCCATTTGAATGGAGCTCAAGGACTGCCTTTTATTTATAAAAGGTGACGCTTTTTCTTTTCATAAATATACTTATGACATGTCAGGTACATATTCATGCAGACTTATAAAGTGGGGCAGCACAGTGGTGTAGTGGTTAGCACTTCTGTTTGGAAGCACTGGGGGGTCCCTGATTCATTCAAATCACAGTCAGGACACTATCTGCATGGAGTTTGCATGTTCTCTCTGTGCTTACGTGGGTTTCCTCCAGATACTCTGGTTTCCTCCCACAGTCCAAAAGACATACTGAAAGGTTAATTGGCTCCTGTCTAAATTAGCCATGTGAGATTGGGACCTTAGATTGTAAGCTCCTTGAGGGCAGGGACTGATGTGATTGTGTTATGTAAAGTGCTTCCTAAATTGTCAGCGCTATATAAACACCAGCAATAAGAAAGTTGATGAAAGGTTCACTTTAAGTTCAAAAGGTTGCCATACATTTTGCAACACCGTGGAAGGATCACAAGTGAAAGTCACTGGCCTTTATACAACCGATTGCTTTTAGCTTTCCTGTTCTACAAGAGAATTTAGTCTTGTACATTGCAAACATTGTCTCTCAACACAGTGCAAACACTGGCAGAAACAAGGGGAGCCTAAGAAAGTTTAACCCTTACGAGAGAGACAATAAAGTGGTCAAGCAAGCTTCTCAATCAACGCTTACACTTTAAAAATCAATGGGCAGAATCCACGGAACATAAAAAGGCCTGTTAAGGGATTACGTGAACAATAAAGTGTGCTAGAAAGTGGTGCAGGGGGAATGACAAATAAGAGGGTAGCCTAGCCAAGACATGTTTTACTAGCCAAGCATGGACAGGGAGAGCGATGGAGTGCCAGAACTCCCCAATCTACTCTATATGCCGAAATAATCTCCTCTGGGGATTATGGGAAGCAGAAGTCTGAAGAGTTACCTGATTATTTTAAGTAAACTTTACTTACTGATTAATGAAAAGCTGAACGGGACCATATTATAAAGGGTAATTTACTGAAGGAAAAGTTCACCTGCCATCCTTAAAAATGTTTATAAACCCCAGACGGTAATTAAGACGAGCAAAGGAATAATGGGTTTAAATTAGCACGGAATATTATAAGAATTATGATCTAAGTGGTGGTCAGGGACGCAAATCTTTAGCGACTAGGGATGAGCTTACGCTCGGACTGAAGCAGGTGTTCTATTGAGATGTCCAACCTGTCGAGATCTCCAACTCGTCGAGATCTCCAACTTGCGCGACCACCCAAGAGCCATATCACGTTCTCTAATTTGCCTTAGTGTGCGCCTGCGCGGGCACCCAA